ATATTGCTAAAATTAATTATTAAAATTTTATTATAAAAATTAATTTTAAAAAAATTAATACAGGCAAATTTGCCTGTGTTACAATCTAAGAGATAGCATATTCCTGATACTTTAGTATATCTCTGCCTATTTATTAGATTTCTAATTCAAATAGCTTATATAAAATTATGACCAGTCTATTGATATATTAGGTTAACCTAATATTCTTTTTCTCTAGTTCATTCCAATAACCTAATTGGTAATACATCTAAAACTTCTAATTCAGAAGTTCTTGCCTATTAGAGTATTATAATCTTGATATTGGTTTCTTAGATATAGCCTTTATAATAGCACTATCAAAGATTTGTATTACTATTCTACTCAGATCTTTCTAAATAGACTTTTTGTTTTCTAATTTTAATAGATTTATATGATTACAAGAACTTATATTGAGTTTGCACTGTCTAATGCCAGTTTGCATTCTTTTGTATAATGCTATATTTATACAAATGTTTTATAACCTGCTAGCCATGCTAATGTAACTGCTATTACAGATATTTTAATCTAATAATTAGAAACAGTTACTATAATACAAATATTACATAGATGATTATTTAAATTTTTGTTATTAATAAGATTTGATACCTAATCTACTACTTGAAGAGTTGACAACTTATTCACTTCACTAAATCATCACATTTTATTAATATTTATTAATTATAAATTTTTTTTTTTTTTTAATCTTAAGCAGTTATACTAGTACTTTATTAAGATTCTTGAAACTATATACATTTATAATTATATAGAATTTTTCAATACTCAAGTCTAGCATCACTTAACCACCCTATTGGCACCTAAGTACAACCTGCTGCACTATCTCAGTTAAAGATAGACTGCTTGTCTAACTACTTAAAGCTATACTAGAAAGGTATTTTCTCTTCTGTGACAAGCATATCTATTGACTTCTAAGCTTTCTCTTTCATTCAATTTGTTTTTTCTGCTTTCTTTTCTTTTTCTTTTTTCTTTGCTTTCTTATTCTTCTTTGTTTTTTTTCTGTTCTTTTTTTAAATCGAGCACCTTTTTTTCATTTTGCTTGTTATATTAATCTTCTTTTCTCATTCTTAGGAAACTATCACTTATTACATAATTATAGCCCCCCAGATCCGGATATTTGGAACCTCCTAAAAACCTCCTTACAGATGATGTCATAATGGTCCCATGTGGCGCAGTAACCTATGATCAACGGTTTTTTTTCCTGCAAAATTGTGATATCATAACGGCCCCATATGGCGCAGTAACCTATGTTCAATGGTTTTTTTCTATGCAAGATTATGATGCCATAATGACCCTATATGGCGCAGTAACCTATGGTCAACAGTGCAATAATTAACAGTTTTAACGGGTATTTTTCTCACAAGGATATTATAATAGTCTATCTAAAAACCTGTTATACTTGTTTATTATAAAATCTACCTTAAATTTAACTACTAATTATAACACTTAACCTTAAAAAATGCACTCCAGAAAATTTTATTTTTCAGTAACTTGTCTATTTTTTTTTACAATATGCATTTCATTCTAATCTGTCACAATTAACAGTTAATTTCCTTCTAAGTTTATATCATAGCAGCCCTAGAAATGTGGTAAAAACTAAGCTGTAATTAGCCAAAGACCAGTTATTTGTTACTAATGATGTTAAATTGATCCAAGCCAACCAGAATAGAATTATTTTTGTAATGTAAATTGCAGATCTTGGAGGCCAAGATCAAATTGTAGTCATTTGATATCAATTTCCGACCAGAGTCTACTAAGCACTATAAGGCTATTTATTATTTGCAGGTTTTGTCTTTTGGCAGAAGCTTAGCAGGTTTTTAGGTATGTACATGAATTTAATTGGTAGGACAGAAAATTACTATAACATTACTAATCACATTATGGAATTATATTTAATAGAGTTTCTTAGTCTCCAGATACTGTAGCATTCACCAAGAGGCTCACACTTCTATTAAAACTGAATTCAAGAGTAATGAAATTTCAAATTTATTGATATGGTATACAGACGGTTGATAATAGGAAACGACACCAGCAAATATAAGATTATGAAAATTGTAAGAGGAATGATTTTTGTATATCAGTTTCGTTGTATATGATGTTACATGAAACTGATGTACGAATATTATTCCTCTGATTGTAAAACTTTGGCAGTTAAAAAAAGATATCGATATTAAAATTTAACAGTTAACCATTTTTAAATTATAATGCACATATAGATCTTGAAGTCTTTGGATCGCAATAGAAAAATTAACTTATCGCTGAACCACAAGACTAAATTAAAATAAGGCTTCTTTAATGGGTGTATACTATTTAGTCGAGATTTGATAAAAGATCTTAGATAGAATATAATGATAAGACAATAAAAGCTTTTTTAAGGTTTTGCTGTGATTCTTTATTAAAATTAATCTTTATTTCAAAATATTTATATCAGAAATTTATTAAATAAATGAGTACCATAAAGGGAAAATCTATAATTCTTTATCTAATAAGAATCACAAGTTTTCCTTTCAAATAATGAATGAAAAATTTTATTTGGTTTTTTGCTTTTTTGTCATTGTTTCAGTATTTTTTGGCCTTCCAAGTCCACGTTTAATCAGAAAGGTTTCTTTTGCCATTGTTTTATCTTTTTTTGGCCTTCCAGGTCCACGTTTAATCAAACAGGCTTCTTTTGCTATTGTTTCATCTTTTTTTGGCCTTCCAGGTTTACAAGCTTCTTTTAAATGTTGGTTTTTTTTGTGATTAGCAACCATTGAGATTGTTAGGAAATATTTTCCACAAATAGGACAGGTGTGTTTTATATAATTATCAGTCATGGAGGGGCAATGTTGGTTGTACCCCAGTATTTTTTTCTTGTCAAGATACTCTAATAGATGTATTGAATTAATATAGTGACCATCTTTCTTCATTACTAAAGGGAGGAAGAAACTATTATATGAAACAAGAAGGTTAGCAGCCTCCTCACATCTTTTAGGAAAGCAACATTTGATATTATTACATTTCTTTACATCTAAAGAGTATTTGCAGACCCTTACATGGATCTCTATCCATTCTCAAGATATAATATCTGAAATCAGAGTATTTATCGTATCAATGTATTCAGCCATGACTGGTTTTCTAAATATTTTGTCCTGCTTCCACAGGTTGCAGAGAAGATTGCCCGCATATTTAAAATTTTTTTTTGCTAGCTCCTGGTCTACGACTTTACTCTGTGAGTCAAGGTGGGTGCCATATTTGTCAACAGCAGGACTATACCTGCTAGTTTTGTTGAAAGAGATGCCATACTCCTTTCAACAGGGTTGTATGCTGAGTGACCTAGAGTAATTAATAGAATAAACTAATGTTTAGTTGTTATTTATTGGTTAAATTTTTTAATTGATTAATATTACAATTCAACCAACTACTATTTTAGGTGGAATTACAATTTGACAAATTTGATTAGTGATTTTAGATCACTAACCTGGAGCATGAGTTCTAATGATCAAATAATCGAGGTCGAAAGAGCGAAAGATGTTACAATAGTGAGAGATATTTTTTAGGTAACAGAGATTTTTATCAGGGCCTCTATCTACAAGGAGGACCCATATGGGTCTGATTTTATTATTAACCTTTAACATATTGTCAAAACTGCCATTATTCATTAAAGAATATAGATCATTCATATGGGTTTTCAAGCTTGTTCCTATCTTATATTGTGGATGGATGTATATTAACATTTGGCCTCTATGAAGTGTGTCATTTGTATCACTTGGATCGATGATTAAATAAACAGATGAAATAAGTTTCTGTTGTAAACTAGCAAGAAAGTCGTAGTCCAGAATGGTAACTGGCTTATTGTTACTTTGTATGACTTTAAAACTTTTTTCAACTGCAGAAATGCCGAGGAGAACCTTGGCTTTATCATCTTGTGACATAATTACCAAAAAGATTGGAAATAGGGCTGCAAATTGTCTTGCTGCCTTTACAGAAGCAAAACAATAATAAACATTCGAATGATCTGCCCTTTCATTCCTTGAGACAGTTGCAACCTAAACCAGCATTTTTAACAGACAGAAATTAACAATAAATATGTAAGTTATAATTTAAAATTTTATAATCATTTAATTATATAATTTCTAAATTATATCAATATGTAGAATATGAAAATTTATAGACATGCAGTCCAGAAAAGAATAATAAATATCAAAAATATACATTACTAACCTGAATATTAGTTGGATGGTGGTAATTTTTTGCTTCTATTGAGTTTGAATGACATGGTAGTAGGTAATTGTTTATAGCAGTTTGGGAAAGATATTCATTATATTTTGACTCTAGTTCTTCTTTTATGTGATTTATTGTTTGAACATTAATAACTTCTTTTCTTCTTTTGCTATCAGCAGCCCTGAACTCTATGCTCTCATGAATGTGTTCTAGTAAGTCCGGGTATTTGTACAAAAGAGGTGGATGTCCAGGCGAGTCATACTTCACAACTTGCTGATGCTCTTTTAAATCATGGTTTTTTTTTTCTCTATATTTGCATTAGATATCAGCATTTTTTTTCAGGCTTTGGGTTTTCTTTTTTTGGGCACAGAAGACTTGTTTAAGGTCTTGTATATGATCTATTAGCTCACATTTGGCCTCAGGATCAGTTGTCAAATTATAATCCTTTTGATACTTTGCGATTTCTTCATTCATTTTATTAATAATTTCTTTTGCTTTCTTTTGTGCCATGGCATTTAGTAATGGTTCACTAGAAACAATGATTTTCTTAATTATTCTATCTTGAGTTAAAGTAGCAGTATTGAAATATTGAACAGGATTTAAATATTGGGTAGTAGAGACAGCATTTATAATAAGGTGTTCTATAGTATTTTCAATTTCGTATTTTGGCTTTCTTTTAATTTCATTTTATGCATTACAGACTTCTTTACATACTAAATCTTTCGAATATTTAGAATCTTTAGTGCTGATCATATGATTATACGCAAAGGCATTACAGAAATTTTGGTATTGGGTTTTTGGAGTTTTGTAGATATATAATCTGTCATATTTTAACGTATTTGAGACTTGCATTTTAAAAAGAGATAAAGTCGTGAATCGCAGAAAAAGAGAGAAAGAAGAAAAAAGAGAATTAATAAGCGAAAGAAAGAGAAAAAAAGAAGAAATAAAATGAGAAAGAAAAAGAAGTTAAAAATAATAAACAGAAATAAAAAAAACTGAAAATAAGTAGAAAATAAAAAAAACGAAAAGTGAGAGAGAGAAGGAAAAAGGTTACTATTAATTATTGGAATAACAGATCAAGTAAGAAATAAAAGTATTGAATGAATAACTTGAGTGAAATTAGTAGAGTATTTAGTACACGGTTTGTTATAGTAGAATTTGACCATATTTATAGCGAATGAAAAAAATATATTAACAATTAGCTATGCATCTTTGCTAATTACAAGTATGAGTGATTTATTTATTCAAGTATAAGAGATGGTTATAACAATATCAGACTCACATTTGCAGGTCTTGCATTTATTATATACAATGTATTTCATCATTTTTTAATATAATTTTAATGTATCCTGTGCAGCTGTGCAAGTCGAGCATATGGTGAGCGAATCTACAAAAGAACCCTCTACTTCCTTGAACTCCATTTCATCATCTCATATCAAGGAAGAACTCCAAGACTCAGCTTACAATACA